CTTGAACTCACAGAGATCCATCTGCCTCTGCCTCCCGAGTGCTGGGATTAAAAGGCGTGCGCCCCCAATGCCCCCAAGACTACTCTTATGAAAGAAAATGTTTAATTAGGGGCTTGCTTACGGTTTCAGAGGCTCAGTCCATTACATTACCATCATGGCAGGGAGCATGGCCACATGCATTCTGCCAGTATAGTAGCTGAGGGCTACATTCTGGTCCACAGATTGAAAAGGAGTGGGCTAGTTTGAGCTTTTGAAACCTCAAAGTCCACCCCCAGTGACCGATCTCCAACAAGGCCACACTTACTCTAACAAGGTAGATCCTTCTAATCCTTTCAAATAGTGTCACTCCCTGGTGATATTCAAATATAAGTGACAATGGGAGACATTCTTTTTATGTTTTTAAAATTTGTATGTGCATTGCTATTTTGCCAGCATGTATGTGTGAGGGTGCCAGATCCCCTGGAACTGGAGTTACAGACAGTTATAAGCTGCCATGCGGGTAGTAGGAATTGAACTGTGGTCCTCTAAAAGAGCAGTCAGTGCTCTCTTAACCGCTGAACCATCTCTCCAGCTCCTGGGAGACATTCTTATTCAAACCCCCACACTGTGTGTAGCACTTGCAAGCATGTCCAAGTCCCTGGGGTTCCATAGTCAGGCAGTCAGGTGAGACCTGCCTCTTAATTACACAGCTTTTAAGGTCAAGAAAGGAGTCCAGCGCTGGGTTGCTTTGCCCACCCGAGTCAAGGGCCTTCTGCTAAAAGTGGGCGAGGAGGTCACGCCTACCGAGACTAGAAGGGTGAAGAAGCAGGTCCAACCTCTGAAGGAGCATGTGACTTGGGAGCTGGCAGTACTTCGGAAGATGCTACAAGAGTGGAAGACTGCCTGGGCACTCAGTAAGTGAAGAGAGCGCTGAAATAGTGGATATTTGTGAGTATGTGTTCCCCAAGCTTGGAAAAGCCCATCCGTCTTGTAAACTGTAGAAGGCTGGCTGCCTCGTTAAAGGGCATGGGTAAGAGCCTTTCAATCAGCAGGTGTTAGGCTAATATTATGCTGGGCTCTTTATGCATACATAGGCAGGTATGTGTGGGAACTTCAGGAATGCGTGGGAACTCACTGTGTTGTAGGCTTTCTGAACAGAAAAACTGGACCCCAGGCTTTTACAAAAAACAGTTCAAGTGCTAGCACTGTCTGTGGGATTCTCCTCAAATGAAGAGCCACAGGCATTCTGGAACAGAGCTTTTTATACATTCTTTTGGCGTATTTGTCTATCATGTAAAATGACTTGCCTTCTGAATGGGTGGATACTTTAGATTACTCGGTAGTGAAACTAAAGAAAAAAAAGCTGAGGTGGAAAGGGAGGGGAAGGAGGAGGAACAGTTGGTTGCAGGAGAAATGTGGTGGAGTTGCACTACACCCATGAACACTGACCAGCCTGTTTTTCTTCTCTTAGCCTCTTGGGGGTCCTACCACAACCATACTAAGAAACCTCACAAGCAGAGACCCTGTCTTAGCCATGTCTGAAACAGGAAAGACAAAAGATACTGCCCTAGCATAAGATATGCAGCTGTCAAAAGAAATTGCAGTTGACTATGGAATTTAGTTGTAAAAATGAGGTTATCGTGAATCTACTTTCCTTCAAAGAACTTTAAGTAGAAGGTTGAATGCTTCTACCAACTGAGAACCTCATCCCTCACTGTTTTATTTTTTTATTTTTTACTTTTTTTTTTCAAGACAGGGTTTCTCTGTATTGCTTTGAACTTTGTTTGTCCTGGAACTTGCTCTGTAGACCAGGCTGGCCTTGAACTCACAGAGATCTGCCTGCCTCTGCCTCCCGAGTGCTGGGATTAAAGTTTCCAGTCACCAACACCCAGTTTTTTTGGGTTTTTTTTGGGGGGGGAGTGGTTTGGTTTTTTGTGACAGCATTTCTCTGTGTAGCTTTGGAGCCTGTCCTGTAATTCTGCCTGCCTCTGCCTCCTGAGTGCTGGGATTAAAGGCATGAGTCACCACTGCCTGGCTTTTGTTTTATTTTTGTGATGGAAGACTTACTATGTTGCCTAGAGTGGTCTTGAACTCATGGATTCATGTAGTCAGTCTTTCTTTGGGACTGCCAGTTCCCAAACAATGACATGGATACTAATTATTATTCATGAAAGCTTGGGCTTGTTCCCAACTAGGTCTGGTAACTTAAATTAACCTGCTTTTATTAATCTATGATCTGCCAGATGGCTTTTTACCTCTCCTCCATTCTGTGTGCCTGACTCCCTCACGTCTCATTAGCAAAATCCCCTCCTTTCTTCCCAGAGTTCCCCTCTCTCCGGAAGTCCTGACTATTCTCTCCTGCCTAGCTAGTGGCCATTCAGCTCTTTATTAAACCAATCAGAAGACACCTTAGGCAGAGACACATCTTTACAGTGTGCAAAAAGATTATCCCACAACAGATTCATGAGGTTTTAGCCTATTTTAGCCTAATTGTGTGTCACCATAACCAGCCAACTACTGTGTTTTATACCCCATCTATTTTCCATGGAAAGTTATTTAAGCACAGAGCAATAGCATATAAGATGCGATTGGGGGAAACTACCTAAGAAGTGTATGAATCATCACAGAAACAATTTGCCAAAGAAGTCCTTCTCTGAATTCTTTATTCAGAGCTAAAAGTGTTCCTTGCATTGTCCTAAGGAAAGGTACTTTTTGCCTACCCATTTACTGCATAATATCTAGCCCTAAGTAGGTGGTTCTCTTTTAATTCTCCTTCCTATGACTTAGTTATCGAGTGGCATCATGAGACAGTGGAAAACCTGTTGCGAGGCATGGTAAGCATGTATGATGAAATGAGGATCCAGGCCATTGTCACATGTGCTACTGCTGCTTTGGAAAGGCCCCGGATTGTCTCTGAGAAGCAGGACTCAGGTGAGAGCTAAGACTCGGGGGTTTAGAAACATCTGGACTGAGAGAGGTCTTAGACATTACTTGAGCTCATTTTCCCAATGTAGAAATCAAGGCCTAGAACCTGCCCAGACAGCCAAGCTCATCACATGCTACATATTCATACATTCAGACAAAATACTCATACATAGAAAATAAAAATCTTGAAATATAAGGACTGAACGTATAACTCAGTATAGAGTATTGGCCTGGAACGTACCAAGTCCCAGGTTTGAGCCTCAGCAAAGAAAGGTAGGAAGGGGAAAGGGTGAAAAAAAATTACGTAAGTGATTTGATAGCTTTTATATCTTTTTTTTTTTTTTTGAGACAGGGTTTCTCTGTGGCTTTGGAGGCTGTCCTGGAACTCACTTTGAAGACCAGGCCGGTCTTGAAATCACAGAGATCCTCCTGCCTCTGCCTCCCGAGTGCTGGAATTAAAGGCATATGCCACCGCTGCCAGGCTGACTTCCTATGTTTATAGGCAAAAATTCTTATGACAAAATAAGCCCTGACTGATAAATCACTTCAGAGCTGGAAAGAACTATAAATGAAAGATAAAATATCTGACCAACAGTATACACTGGGGCTCCCCAGATGCCTTATTGCACATGTCCTCGATGACCCTAGGACTGTACCTATGGAGCTACTAAAGAGATATTATACTCATGGAACTTAAATTCATCCAAAGTGAATGCCATGGAATGCTTCGTGAACCTCAGACAGTGCCAGGAGAGATGGTTCAGTGGTTAAACGCACTAGCTATTCTTCCAGTGGATCTGGGCTTGATTCCCAGCACCCACGTGTCAGCTCACATCCACCTATAATTCCAGTCCCAGAGGATCCAAAGCCCTTTCTGGCCTCTGCAGGCACTGCATGCACAAGGTATACAGACATATATGCAGGCAAAGCACCTAAAATAAAGATAAAGGTTAAGATAAACATTTGGGCTAGGCGTTGGTGGTTGGTGGTGTACCCCATTAATCCCACCACTCCGAAGGCAGAGGCAGGTGGATTTCTGTGAGTTTGAGGCCAGCCTGGTCTACAGAACGAGTTCCAGGACAGCTAGGGCTGTTACACAGAGATTGCTAAAAAAAAAAAAAAAAAAAAAAAAAAAAAAAAAAACCAAGATAAGCATTTGGGACAAACTAAAAAAGAACCCCAGATAAAAAGAATGTCTGACATTGCCACCCTGACAAGCTTGTGCCTATAGCAAGTATCAGTGTTTGTTGTTAAGTCTAAAAGACTCCCTGCTGGATTCTGCTGTGACCTACTTGTTCACAAACTCAGAGTTGAAATACTGTATTAGACAATGAGTAAATGGGTTGGGTTTGTTACTATGATGAACGGTGGAGGTTACTATAGCTAGCTGGAAATACACTTTGCCTTCAGTGCTAGAGACCAGATGATAAAGGATTGGAACCTGGTACATCAGCACCTGAATCCTTTGGACATAAAATCCTGCCCGTTGTATAGCGTCAACTGACCCATGATTTAGTAAGCTATAGATATAGGGTAGACCTTGGTAAGGATGCTGTCTGAGAGAAAAGCAAAGGACTGGGACCTCTTTGATTACAGAGACAATTATTCCGGATTTGCCAGAGGCCCTCCTGCCTACTCTAGAGGCTGCTCTGTCTGACGTGAATCCCAATGTGAGGATGGCAGCAGCCATATGCCAATATGCCATACAGTCACATAATCCCATTGCCCAGGACATCATGCAGACTGCACTTGTGAAGGGTGAGTAACTCCCTTTGGACCTGGAATATGGGATAGAGGTTAGCTCACCATCGGCTTTCCCAGTCTTTTCCTTTTCCTATAATGCTGGGTTGCCTGCTGCATTTGGGTCTGAGTGTCTGTTAACTACATAGAGACATTAGTTCTTTTTTTTGTTTGTTTGTTTTTTGTTTTTTGTTTTTTGAGGCAGGGTTTCTCTGTGGCTTTGGAGGCTGTCCTGGAACTAGCTCTTGTAGACCAGGCTGGTCTCGAACTCACAGAGATCCACCTGCCTCTGCCTCCCGAGTGCTGGGGTTAAAGGCGTGCGCCACCAACGCCTGGCGACATTAGTTCTTTTACGTAGTTTTACTAAACAAGTGGCATGAATTGCTACCTGGATTGAGCCTTCACAGATCCATTCTATAAACCATGTCCTAAAATGGATGAAACTGAAGATATTAACTAAAACAAATTACCCCGTCTCTTCCATGTGGAAATGTAAAAGAGTGATTGCTAGAGGTTAGGGGTGGGAAGCAGAAGGTGGATAAAGGCAGGTGGGTTTGATCAATGTAATGCTGTATGCATGCCTTGAAACAGCACCCTAAACCCCATTAATAATACAGTTAATACATGCTAGTCAATAATTTTAGGGCTAGATTTCTAGCTCAATGATAGTATGGTTGCCCAGCACATTTAGGCCCAGAATTTTATTCCTAGTACCAAAAAGTAAATACAACAAACAATGGCCTCTTATTTATAACATTTTATTATTGAAAAGATAACAATAGCTGAATACATTTTTTTTTAAATCACCTCCTGAAAACATCATGCTTCCAATGTCTTCACAGTAACACCTAGGCATTATCATGTTGGAATTATCAAAGCTGCCAGAAGAGAGCACTGACCTGTGTTGAGATGAGTTGTTCCTTGGCTTAGCATGGGAAAACTGGTTGGCTAGTCTGGCCTTCTGTATATGAACAATCCACTGCTTAATTCATCTGTTTTAGGAAGGGACTTCCTCCCAGGCCCCTCTAGCCTTCCCAATTAGAAGTGCTACAAAGAAGAGCTTGTAAAGTTTTAGTCCAGCCTCATGGCACACACCTTTAATTCTAGCACCCAAAAGGTAGAGGCAGGTGAGGTCAGGAACGGGGCTCCAGCCTGCTGGCACAGGGCTTTGCCTTACATGCACTGAGCCCTGGATTCTCTCCCTAATCCTGCCATCCCCCAAAAGCCCAAGGTCATCTCTGCTACACAATGGGTTTAAGGCTAGCCTGGACTAAATGAAATTCTGTCTTCAAAAAATGTTTTGCAGGTTTTTTGTTTTTATTTAAAATCTTGTCATATGGTTGAAGTATCAGAGTGGATTTCTAGACTCCGTGGGACACTGGAAAGTGAGGTAGCAGGCAGTTAACAGTCACAGGTACCCATTCAAATGTGTTTCTCTCTGGAAGAAAACAATCTGAACTCATTTTTTCAACCCACTGGGACAGGTAATAGTGTGGACAGCTGGGCCGCAGCTCAGTGCTTGGCTCTGGAAGGCATTGCCACCTACCCAGTGATTAAGAGGATCCTCTACCAGCTCTTTAACAAGAAGAATGAGGCCACTGAGGAGCAGGCTTGTATCCTCCTGGACCATCTCAGTGGAAAGACGGTATGTGTCCACTTCAGAACAAGAGAAGGAAATGAGGCTTGGGGGAGGAAGTGCCTATAGTTGGTGCACATAAGGAATCAAGAATGGTGGTGCCTGAGAATGATGTCAAGCATAGGCCAAGTACACCAGGTCTGTAAAACCGGATATGGACAAGTGTCCAGGGGGGATGTGAGAAGCTAGTTGAGAAGTTTCTAGCAGCATAAAGGTTGAGTCATGACATGCAAACTGCTTCTCACAGAGGCTTATCACTGATACCCCCCTTTTACCTCTGTTCATTGGGGGTAGACACACAAGACTTCATACACTGTGGAGATACAAACCATCCCAGGGACTGAAGGGAAGACCCTCATTTTCTGCTCAGATTATTAGACCTGTATTTTCTTTCTGGTTCATAACTGAAGTCAGGTTGCTTGGGTAGAAGAGTGCCCATCTCTTATGAACCCACTCTGTTCCTTAAATAGGAATGAGGATTTAGTGACCTTGGGGCATTTACTATGCTGGATGACATGTTAGGACATAATTTTTTCAAGATTCTAGTATCTCTAAGAGTGAGCAAGGCTATCCATGCAAGTCTTCCTTTTCCTCAGACCCTGATCCACACAATGCTCGCTGTGGAGCTCAACAGCCGGCAATGGAAGGACCGCATTATGGCCTGCCGGGCTTTCTCTCGCATCAGTGGAAATATCTGTAAGGTAAGTCTGTCTTCGTTCCCAGAAAGTCTGGCAAAGTTGGCCTGTAGTCTTCCTACTTTTTGCTTCTATCTAGTATCTCATTGCTGCCTCTTATTCATAACTTGAAATATCTTTAAGTATCATGTCCTTCTCTCATTTTAAGCCAGTGCTTCTTGGTGGAGTGACAATCCAAAAATGTGACATAGCCACTATCAAATGCATACAAACCAAGAGGGAGCTTATAAACTTAATAGTGATTTGTCACTATCTCACTAGTAGTAGACATTATGAGAGTATTAGTCAACGATGCATGCCTCCCTCATCCTATGCTGAATATTAGTCCTTGATTTGAGAAGCAAACTGAAAAGACCCAACAATCCAACTAAACAAATACCTGTGTTGGTTCCCTGAATATTCAGCACACACATAGTCCCTGTTTTCAAAAACAATGGCATTGAAATTGGAGCAATAAGACTTCACAATCCAAATGAATAGACGTCGATTCCTCTGGTGGCCAGGGGGACTGTCTCCCTGGATCAAAGAACATGCCAAAAACCTGCATGGACTACTAGGGGACTACAGGCATTTAAAATCCAGTAGTGCAAACAAAGCATTTCTCATTATTAAAGCAAGCAAAACATGAGGTGATGTTTACAGTTAGCTTAAGCAAATACAAGTATAATAAGGGAGTATACCAGGTGTTGTCTTATCATCTTTGACAGTGTGAAAAGAGCCAATATTCTTCCCAGGCCTTTGTTTTTCACGTGGCCATGCCAGGGCATTCCCTTCATGTCCTTGCTTTCAAATGCATTCACTTATCATAGTCCAGGCAATTCTTTCTAGAAGGCCACCTTGTCGGGAGAACATTCTGTACTCTGTCCCATCCAGAGTTCACAGCCAGCTCACAGCTTCCTTACACAGGCTCCCACAACTTGCGAGCAGAGTGGATGCAAGGTGCTCCCTTGAAACTTTCTGGAGCCTGGTGTCTACTGAATGTAAGTGGCTAAACAACTTGAGGGTGTGGGACTTGGCTACAATTGAAGAAGAAATTCTGAGCAAGTGAAACCTGAACCTCTTTTTACTATTATGTTCTAATCACTAGCTGTCTGAGTGGAATCGGTCCCTCATCCTTAGAGCTGCTCCATCTTTTATCACACTGCATACTGTCCGTATAGCCCGTAACACGGCTATTCCTGCTTAGGAGAGGGCGCCCTCCACTCTTAACCCTCACATGTTATTAAAGAAAGCACAGCACCGGTCATTCAGGACAACAACCTGAAGAGGCTTGAGCACAGGCTGATTCTCTCTCACATGCTGGGCCTCTGCCAAGACAGTAGCTGTGCACAAGTTACACACATTGAGGACTTCATGATAAACTGCAGGAATTTAAAGGGGCAATGTGCCTGAGTTCTTTTATTCACTTGGTCAGCAAGCAGTGTCTGACCACAACCCCCCTACAATGGTAAGCAATGTGAGAGCATTAGTGGTACAGACTGTATCTTACCTTGGCAATGCTATAACAAAAGTAGCTGCAAGGCACTATAGTATACATAGGGGCTTCCTATGCTTACAGGGGCAGACGAGACTTTACTAGGGAGGTGCCTTTTTAGCCAATTCTAAATAGGAAAATACCTGGTACCAGATGGAGGTAGAAAAAGATGTTTCAGGCTGGGAAACTAGTTCATAATTATCATCATCACAGCTGCAGCAGTGTTCTCCCTTCCCAGTAAGAAAGAAGTACCCTGGTACAGGGTACCGGTTTGTTCGGGACATGGACTTTCAGTACTAAACCCAGAAAAGTCTCAGGCAATCTGGAATGAGGAGTTTGCTCAATACTGTAATACCTTTGAATTCAAGTCTCTCACACTCATTATGTTGGTGCCAACATGATGCAGGAGTTTAGGAGATGATTTTGGGAAACAGACCTGGGTTCTGAGACCAGGCATAAGGATTTACCAGATCATCCTCGGGCAAATTAATCAAAGCCTCCATTGTGTCATCTGCCCAACTGGACTGAGAAATTAAATAGACAAAAACCTGGTGTCAAGTACAAAATTAGTGAGCCAATTATCACACCTGTTGATAGGATATGAAACATAAACTCATTGAGCTGATGTGGAACGACTGGAACAAAGAAGTCAGGCAAGCGGCTGCCAAAGCACTGGGGCAGATGAACCTTGGGAAAGAGGTGCACGACATGATCAGGTAAGACCCAGTCTTCCGAGAGCTCAGAAGCCCTTCCTTTCTTAGGAGTGCCTGGGTGATCTGGATCCAGCCAGTTATCTGCTGAGCTCTGGGTATGATCAGCATACTGGGCCCCACTGTAAAAAGTTCAGTCTCTACAGGAACTACTATCATGGCTAGCCAAAGAAGCACTGGGTGTCCACTAAGGGTGAGGTAATCTTTTAGGTATTTGAGGAAGGACACAATTCTGATGAACGAAAACACAATATGCAAATACCTAATTAAAACAAAACAAAACAAAACAAAAACAAACCATACTAACCTAGAACAATGGAATATACCATAACTGCTATAGGAAAATGTGATACGCAATGTGGACTAGTAAGGCCAAGTTCCATGAAGATGCAGTCATTCAGGCTGGGAGACAACTGCCAAAATGAGCACTGTATTTGTAAGAGGAGGTGCAACCTTTATTTGGTTGTTCAAGAGACATGAATGTCTACCACATGCTAGGTAACAGGAGTTCAAGAAAGACACCCGGTCCCAACCCATGGAAACTTTAATGATTATACACCAACTAGAAAAGGTATATCCACGTAACTGGGCCCACAAAGCTAGAATTCTATCCAGAGGGCATGGTGGAAGGTAACAAGGCACAGAAAATTTTATTTATTTATTGGTTTTTTTTTTTTTTATTTTGGGGAGGGGGGTTTGAGACAGGGTTTCTCTGTGGCTTTGGAGGCTGTTCTGGAACTCACTTTGTAGACCAGGTTGGCCTTGGACTCACAGAGACCCACCTGCCTCTGCCTTCCTGAGTGCTGGGACTAAAGATGTACGCCACTAATGACCGGCAGCACAGAAAAGTTTAAGGAAAATAAAAGCCACTTGTGTCTTACAGGATTAAGCTGAGTCAAGGAAATTCCCAGGAGCGGATTGAGGCCCTTTCCCTGATTCGTATGCTCAAGCTCATGACAGCCAAGCTTCTCCCAAGCTTCCTGAGATGCCTCTCTGATGAGTTTATAGCAGTTCGACAGGCGGCTTGTTTGGCAGCAGGTGCCCTGCAGATCCGTGACAAGCTGGTAAGTCAAGGCAGCATGTTGTCATCTTATCTGATGGACCGAAGAGTGTCACTATCTCTGCTGTGCCCAGTACACTCACTATTCTCTGGGGACATGGGATGAGCAGTCTGGCAGAAAGGTGAATGGAGACAGCCACATCAATCAGTAAGAAGCATTTAGCTTAGTGAGCCCAAACTTCAAGCCAGAACATGCCCCCCTCTCAATTCTGTTCTCATGTCAGCTAACTAGCTTCCTAATAGCTGGTCACTGATAGGCGGAAGGGTTAATGCCAATGAAAAAGGTTTATACTCGCTTGTTATTAGGGCAAAACTGAACAGAGGTATTCACAAGAAGTCTAAGTGAAGCATGATGTGACCCTCACACTTGTGAGATAAGGCAAGAGGCAGAAGGTGCAAGAATTTGAGGTGAGGGGCTGGAGAGACGGCTCGGCAGTTAAGGACACTGACTGCTCTTCCAGAGGACTGGGTTTCATTCCATTCTTCCAGAGGACTGCCATTCCTAATGGCAGCTCACAACTATCTGTAACTCTACTTTCAAGGGATCCAATGACACCTTCTGGCCTCTAAGGGCATTGTACTAAGTGGTGCATAGATAAATATATGCAGGCAAAACACCCATATACATTAGAATGCATTTCAGGGTTGGGCAGTGATGGCACACACCTTTAATCCCAGCACTCGGGAGGCAGAGGCTGGCGGATCTCTGAGAGTTCAAAGCCAGCCTGGTCCACAGAACGAGTTCCAGGACAGCCTCCAAAGCCACAGAGAAACTCATGTCTCGAAAAACAAAAAGACAAACAAAAAACAAAAGCACAGTAATACAGTCTCAAAAATGAGTATGGGGAGTAGGGGAAAGAGAGAGAGACTGGAGAGAAAGTCTCCACTAGGAGTGCAGTTCAGTGGTAGAGCATGCAATTAGTGTATTATGGTGACAGATCTGTGTTGAGAAAAATACACAAAGAACAGACAATTCAGCTAGTTATACAGACTGTAGCCCACCTGTCACTAGAATTAATAGAAGGTTGCTTTTCCAGTTAAAGCATCCCTAGAAATAAGTGGGGTCTCTGCCTCTGGTCCATTCTTAGTCTGGTTCTTCCCACTCAACTTTTCCTGTCTATTGCAGGTGTTTGAATGCCTCCTGAATCTGATGCACAAAGATCCCTTCTGGAAAACCAAGGCTTTAGCCATTCGAGGTATTTCAGAAATAATAGCTCTAAGCACTACACTTGAAATACTTTCTTCATGCTAAGACCCTTAGAAACTCTAGTGAGACAGCTAGTGGAAGGAACTGTCTTAGCTTCTCAGAAGTCTCTGGGCTGAGAAAGAAAAGAAATTTTCTTTTAAATGTTTAGTTAAGGATCCTAAGTCTAGGTTTTTTGAAATTTGCTAAGAACAGACTACACAGTCCCACCACCAGAATTAAGGATACATTTCTAGTTGTATCCACTGTTGGATACATGTTGCTTTCCCTGGAGATTTCAACTAGCACTTGTTAAGAGTCAAACCAGATTCAAGATAGTCACAGAGCTTAAAACTTGCTCTTCACCCTGCCTGGGGAGTAGAGGGAGGATGGCTAGGGGCAGGTGGGATGTTGGGGGGGGGGATTGACATCCGAAGCAAGTTTGTTCCTAATTTGAACTAATAAAATAAAATTTTAAAAAATTAAAAAAAGGAAATAAAGAAACAAAAACACTTCTGTTGTGTTAACAGTTTTCTCCACAACTGAACTATTCCACCCTGAAGGGAGATATTAAACAAGTTGAAATAGCCTCAGGAAGTACCTGAAACTGACTAGATTCACTAGGCCCCATCTCTGCCAAAGTAAGCAATAAAAGCTGAGAGTACCCTCACAAGACAAGCTACAAACACAACTCAGAGACAACGCCAGCTTCCTGAGAGATATTTAGACGAGAGTCACTTGAAAAGGACACTTTCCACCGTTAGGCTGCCTGCAGGCTGTGTTGGGTGTTCCAGGTTTCCCAGTTTCTGTGATCTTCAGCCATGCTGGGATGGCCTTTGGTGATACAGCTTTCTTTAAGTCAATTCTGCTCCTGTATGCTACCCCTCACCCATATTTCTATAAATAACCACAATAAAGCTCATTGGTTCACAAAAAAAAAAAACCAAAAAACAACAAAAAAAAAACCCACAAAAACTTGCTCTTCAATTTTCCAGGTTTTTTTCTTCCCTAGAACCTCTGCACTGCTTCTCTTTTTGAAGTGGTTTTTGATGAACCCTTAGCAGAACCACACCTAGGTAATCTTGAGAAATAATTATGCCTTCTGTCCCCACCAGTCTACCTTAACTACACTGCCCTTCCATGTTAAATTTGCCCCCTATCTAATTCCTGAATAGGCAAACTCAGTTATGTTTATATTCCATTAGGTAAGGACAGTATAAAAAACTCCTCTTAGGAGTCCTTTGGAAGAGCTATCCTATTGCAGTCAGGTATGGCAATATACACCTGTAATCACAGCCCCCAGGAGGCAAAGGCAGAGGGTCACTGCAAATGTGAGGCCAGCCAGGGACACAAAGCAAGACCCTGCCCTGAAGTTAGCCATCAAACCTCGCACATGCTGAGCAACGCTTTGCTGGATCTCCAGAGTTCCTCAATTTTACTACTTAGAAATAATTTTCATTTTACTCCTATCTAATGATTACCATCCCCAAGATACTGTCTGCAATTCACAAATTCCTTCTGGATGCTAGGATGTAATCAAGTCTTCAATGACAGTGGAACATGCTTGCCCTGTCACCTCTACAGCTTTGGGACAGATTGGGCAAGTAAGTCCCCAGCTGACAGAGCTTCTGCTCTGGGCTGTCCACTTTGAAGAGTCCCCAGGTGTGCGACTGGAAGCTTGCCGTAGCATCCTAGCCCTCAAGCTCCAAGGAAACCAGGTCAGGGACACCTTTCTGGATGTACTGCTCCTGGAGAACCACGAGGCTGTTCTTAAGTAAGCACTAAACCTCTGTTTTCTGCCATGACCTCCTGGATTACCAATTTTCCAATCCTTAATCACTAAATATGCTCTGCCTTCCCAGGCTAAGTGGGTAACAGATATTCCCGCCATAATTGGATTGTCACAGCTCCCACAGCTCATGCGTTATTTCTCTTCTTCTAGGGAGTTTTAGATTTTTCGTGTTCTCAAACATTTATCCAGTACCTACTGAGACAATAGACTAGAAGTCAACAATACCAGGGTTTCAATGCACTTATCCACACTCAAAGTGCTGTGCCCCTACCTAGGCCTTTTCTGTTTGTCTCCAATGCAGTTGAAACTCTACATTATAAAGCTGTGGTGACAAGAAATGCAATGGCATTTGGTACCTTTCACAAATAGTAACTGTCACTGCCTTCACACATATACTCTGGAACTGCACAACTGCTGTGTACTTATCATTTCTACAGAAAAGACTCAGTTAAACTGTTGATGAGTGGAGTTTTGGGATTCTTGCCTGACTCCAAATCCTACATTGTTTAACACCATACTTTAAGCACAAGGTAGAACAACCTTTCATATCTTTCAGGGAAATTTACCAGACAATGAAGGCACTTAACTTACAAACTGAAGGCAATCAAGAATTGATTCAGGAGATCAAAAGCAAGGTAAATCAGAACAAACTGTTGTCAAGAGGAAATCCAGGGCTTCAAACAGTTTTACTAATAAGCATGATATACAGTCAATTACTTATCTTTTTCCTGTTCTGGGTTTTTTCTTTTTGTTTTTTTTTGTTGTTGTTTTGTTTTGTTTTTAAGATTTTATTTATTATGTATGTAACACTCTGCTTCCATGTATATCTGCACACCAGTAGAGGGCACCAGATCTCATAACGGATGGTTGTGAGCCACCATGTGGTTGCTGGGAATTGAACTCAGGACCTCTAGAAGAGCAGACAGTGCTCTTAACCCCTGAGCCATCTCTCCAGCCCCTTGTTTTGGTTTTGGGACAGTGTAGCTTTGGAGCCTATCCTGGCACTCGCTCTGTAGACCAGGCTGGCTTTGAACTCAAGAAATCCACCAGCCTCTGCTGGGATTAAAGACGTGCACCACTAAGGCCTGGCATGTTTTGGTTTTTTTGAGAGTTTTACTATGTAGCTCGAAATGAACTGAAAAGTTGGGAGCTTCTTGTCTCAGCCTCCCCGCTTCATGCTTGGAATAATGCTTTTTCTTCCCTAATACAGTTGGCTGCTTTTTGTTTGTTTGTTTGTTTTTTAAAACATTTTCCTCATTAGATTGCAACACTAAATCAAAAGGACTTGCTGTCGGAGAAAATATTCAAGTTGGAAGCAGCTGTAAAAAATCTAAAGGAAAAAGGAAGACGTGTTTACTCAGAACCCAAAGAGGGCCAAAAACCACTGGATCTCCAAACTTTTCTTCAAGGCGTTTTTGAGAGTAGGTTTCTTTTCAGTTAACCCATCCCTTGACTCTTACCAGACTATCCCAGGACCTAGACATTTGGGAACTTGATAGGAGCCCTTCTTGGTTTCCATCCACTCCCTCTCCAGCCCCAGGTTTCCAACTATCTGCAATTGCTGTAATTTAAAGTAGCTCTATCTGAACTGACTTAAAAAGAGGACAAACTAGAAAAGCACGAGCCTTTAGAAAAACAGGTAACTACTACGTATGTTTAAGTACCCCAAAGACCTTACACATTTCACCTTTTGTAGTGATAATCTAGTGCAGCTGGAAGGAAAGAAGTCATTTTATGTTCTAATTTAAGGGAAAAATTTTTTCTAAACATTTTCAACCTTAAAAACTGAAACTGCTGGGTGTTGGTGGCATACACCTTTAATCCCAGCACTCGTGAGGCAGAGGCAGACAGGTCTCTGTGAGTTCGAGGCCAGCCTGGTCCCCAGAGCGAGTACCTGGATAGGCTCCAAAGCTACACAGAGAAATCCTGGGGGGGGGGGGGACTGTGGTGTTGGTGCACACCTTTAATCCCAGCACTCTGGAGGCAGAGGCAGGCAGATCTCTGTGACTTCAAGACTAGCCTGGTCTACAAGAGCTAGTTCCAGGGCAGCCCCCAAAGCCACAGGGAAATCCTGACTCAAGAGAGAAAAAAAACAAAACAAAAAACCCTAAACCTCAGTTATAACAGAATCTTTTTCTTTAGGGTTTTTCTATACAGGGTTTCTCTGTGGTTTTGAGGCTGTCCTGGTGAACTCACTCTGTAGACCAGGCTGACCTCAAACTCAGAGATCCACCTGCCTCCGCCTCCCTAGTGCTGGCATTAAAGGCATGCACCACCATCACCGCCCTGCTAAACAGAATCTTAAAAGGCCTAGATACACTCTAAATGATAAGGATGCAGAAGTCAAATGGTACCAAAATATACTTACAAAATCTGTAAGCAGCAGCCTCAGGTCATTCCGCCAGTTGCCTACCTACCAGCCACCACCCCAAACCCAGATCTTCTGGTTCCAAGTGCTCCGAGTGCACCACGTTCTCTTCCAATCTTCAGACTATGCACTTGCCAGATTTGGGGAAGTTTCATCCAACTTCCAGGGGGAAAATGAGAGTGGAAAGTAACTTGAACATCAATCTTCCCTGTGGCCAGCTTGCTAAAAGGTCTATGAAAGGGTAACCAGGCAACATGACACTGTCTTTTTGGGAGCAGTGTCAGTCACTGACTTAAAACCAAGCACTGTACAAATACAATACACTTCAAAGCTGGCTGCTAGTGGAACCTTTTCCATGAGGATTGCACTGTTTGGATGGAGTTCAAATAGCGTATTTAAAATGAGTAAATTACCTCCAAAAGGCCCTAGTCAGATATGCTTTTCTTCTCTAAGCATGTGATGCTTCGGATGAACCCAAGGCACTGCACATGCTAACCGTACACTTGTTCTACCAGCCCTCTTTAAACAAAGTTAATGGACTCCTTTGACAGCATACACATTCCTTTCATTTCAGCCATACTTTACCTTCTTCCCCATCTCGAATTTTCAAACCAATCCAAAAAAATCTAGGCTTAGAAAAGAGAAACGGTCTTTGGCACATTTAATAAATCTTCTAACGTTCATACAAACATAACCAGCATACTGACCCCATCCCACCCCACAAACCGATGAAAAAGAATGCAAAGAAGCAACTTACATATAAAAATACCCCTAATGTCTCCGGCGGGCAGTGGTGGCGCAGCCACTGGCACTCGGGAGGCAGAGGCAGGCAGATCTCTGTGAGTTGAGACCAGCCTCGTCTCTAAGAGCTAGTTCCAAAACAGCCTCCAAAGTCACAGAGAAACCCTATCTAAAAAAAAAAAAAAGAAAAGAAAAAAACCTATGTCTCAAGCAGAATGGCAGCCAATGCCACATAATACACATAATACACCGAAGCCTGCAGGGAATGAAAGCAGCTGGTGGTCTGAAATGACAGGAGCTGCTGCTGCTTCTGCAGAAACAGCTTTTTGCCCCTTGCTCCAATTTCTGTTTTCTTTTGTGCCTAGATGAAGAGATTCTTCCTAAAAGGTCTGAGCTTTGTGACATCGAAGCAGCCATAAAGGTAAATGTAACCATACTGATGCATAACAAGGTAAGAAAAGAATATGACTTTTTTAAGGGAAGAAAAAAAAGGTGGCGGTGGTAGTGTACAATCACACTGCATTCTTTCCAGCCATCCTCAAGAAACTTAAATCAGACCCAGATTTGTCCTGGTGAGCAGCAGTCCCTTATCATACAGCATGGTTGCCAGGGAAAGCTGGTCTTCTACACTGTCACAGGGCAAATCCCGTACTCTCACAAACTCTGGGTAGGAGCGAAGCAAGAGTTCCATGGCGTCAGCCTGCTGTGGGTGGATTTCCAAGCACTTGGGTTCCTCCAGATGGTAAACACGAGAGTTTTCCACCGAGTAGTAGAGGAACAAGCGGCCTCCCTCACCCACCAGCCTAGCTATGCCATCCTGAAGCATATGGACTTCTGTTTCTGTTGTCAACCGGGCCCCCTCATCTACAAGTTCTCCGTCGCTCCAGTGAACTGGGAGCCCATGAACACTCAGTGCCTCTTCCGTAGTAGTCAACACTGGGGGCAAGGAATCATGGATGAAGTCTTTGGCTCTCTGGTCAGCCACAGCATCGACAGGAGCAAAGTGTCTCAGGTGAGCAACCAAGACCCTCACCTTTTCCATGAAAGCTGTTCTTCTCGGATCCTTGGAGTCTGAATGCTGGGCCCCCATGTAATCCATGAAGTCTCGAGGCAGGCCCCTTCGAAACTCCACATTTTCTTCTATTGCTGCTTGCACTGCCAGGGGCACTACAGCCTCCAAGAAGTCACCCCATGTATTGCGCTGGTAGGTGGACAAGGTGAGATGCAGAGAGTGTTCTTCATCCTGACATTCAGCTTGATGGATGAAGCCCCGAGGAAAATAAAGCAGGTCTCCAGGTTCCAGCACCGCTTTTAGCACCGGCTCACCAAGGTCCTCCTGGCTGAAGTTGGGGCTAGATGTCAGAGGGAGCTCCTCGCTTGGGTCCCGCGGTCGGTAGACACGCCAGAGTTTCCGACCTTCCAGCTGCAACACGAAAGCCTCAATGTCGTCGTAGTGGGGAGCGAAGCCCTGTGAGTTGGGGGGCGTGAGGTAAACGTTGGCGCCTGCCATGCTTCCGAACTGTAACTGGAGCACGGCCAGAAACCTCCACACGTTGTAAGAGAAAGCTTGCGGGCAGAGAAGGCGCAAGGAGCAGCCGGCCTGGTACAGGGACCACGCGGTGGCGGCAAGAGCGCGGCCCGGTGGGTTCAAGGTTTCCCGCCTCCCGTCGACGTAGCGCGCGGCGTCCAGGTGCTGTCCGAAGTGCACGTCCTGGCTGCGCAGTATCGAGTCCAGCTCGGAGGTGGAGAACAGGCCGTTGTAG